CATGCCACTGTACTCATACGGACAGGGAAGCGTACTTGCTGCAACAGAAGTACTGGGGGACGACGATGCGGGACAAGTGTGACTCCGAAGGCCCAGGTTATTGGTTCCAGAAACGCACGTACGGTCTCGAGTCGATACGAGTCGGGCATCTCCTCGCCATTGCCAATCCGGTAGCCTTTATAAGATCCCTTACTTAGATCGGCATTCTTTTCGGACGTAGTCGCCGCGTTAGCCTCCCAGGGAGCCCTGGGCGGAGCTGTCCTGGCTGGCACCACTCTATTTGACGACATTGGAGAGCTTGCAGACAGAGCTAAGTCGTTTGAACCTCTTAGGCCCGAAGACAGGGCATCCGCTTCGTTCCCATTCGACTCCGTCTTTACCTTCTTGCGCGGTTCCTCCTCCTTAGGAGACCCTGCGGAAGATACACTCGAACCAGCAATATCGTTCTGATCTTGGTCGGGGTTTGGCGGCAAATACTCATCAAAAGAGTTGTCCCAATAGTATGCCATATTGTCAAGACCTTCCCAGAACTTTCGGAAGTGTGCTAGACGGAGCGGGACCCTCTCCCCCATTGGTTTTCGCGTCAGGTTGGCAAAGGCATCTTCGTTCTTAAATGATATTTCCTTGGCACGCAGGTAGAATTCATTCCGATCGGGAACCTTCCTCCCGTTGCAAAGAAATTTGGTATCGGGTTCTGCTGGTTGCGTAGTGTTCTGTTCTGGTGCCTCTAACCAGGATCTGGGTGGTAGGTGCGATTGCGCGCCGTTTGATATAGACGCCAAGAGTGTTTCGAAGTCGCATTCTTGTTGAAACGAGACGTTCAAAAGTGCCAATGTGTCCAGATTGACATCAGAGGGCTTTTTGAGCCCGAGGAAGTGAGCAGCAATCCCGGGGGCGGATCCACTAGTCCACGACGCAGGCGGTGCCGATGTCGACGGCTCAGGTGGATCGAGAGATGGGAATGTGACGGATATCGGCCGCGATGGGGGCGCCCTCTCCTCCTTGTTATCGTGTTGACCTGCAAGTAGGCCGCCTAAATGGGCAAACCATAATCAGCGATGCTAATGCACGTGCCCCACGGAACACATGAGGCGAAACATGTTTTGGCAGCACATGGCACGAAACGCGCGGGTCGAATGAAAAAAAATAATGGTAAGGGAGCCATCGTGTGCAGACGGGATGGAATCTAAGGTCTCGAAGAATGGGGGGAAACCTGGCGGCTAACCGTGCTAGGTCGTGGCTGTCGTAGGTGGGGATCGGGAGGGCCGCGGCGCCCAGCAAGCGTTGAGCAAGAGTCGCGGAATGCCAACTTACCGCTGAATTGAAACATGGCGGTGGACTCGCTGTCAATTGGGAATGCCCACCAATTGGGTAGCACATGCAGCGGGAGAAGAGGTGTGAGGGAGGGAACGAACATCAGAAGGCATGGATCGTTGTAAGGTTCGCTTCCGTGCCCCAAACAGCAGCCGCCAGCGTCTCCGCTGTGGATCCAGAGCCTCTCCCACTCGCGCTCGTCAACTAGCAGAACCACCATGATCATTCATACGCAAGTTCAACCCGTAGCAATGCTTGCAAGGTATTTCAGATGGTTGCGCGGGTTGCGAGCCTGGGTGGACCCACCGATGCTTGCAAGGTTGACCATCACTGACAGCCAGGCGGCTACAAAGTAACTCATCATCAAGGAGAACCCCCTAAGCAAGCAAGGAGGCCTACATCGCAATGATTGCAACATTCGTGGATCGCGAAAGATCACGTGGCTTGACGACGGCCTCGTGCATACCTCAACACCGTCACGACCTTCGCCTCCGCGTCGCGCGGTTGCACGCGATGCCTGCAACCATGCGCTCCCGCCACCGTAGGCCTGGCCGACTGAGACGGCCATGCCGCTGTCTCTTGACTGTCGATGCCTTCCGCGCTTCATTTGTGTGAGAATCGTAGCCCAAAGCGGTACGTGAAGCCGTTCACGTTTCAGAACCTCCCAAGCGCTCCGCATTATGCCAGCGGTTGCCAGCCATGCCGACCGCTCTTCCAACCGCTGATGGCATTTGTCTCTGTCTCTGTTCTTCAGCAGCATCCCTAGAAACTTCAATCTCTCACGTTTAATATGCTCGAAGCGCCTGCGGCGCTTTGATCTTTCTTCCGTCTCTTCTTCTGTGCCCCTAGCGGCGTTCCATTTTCTATGAGTGCGTATTCTGCATGGCCACTCCATCAGAGACAATCACCACGGTGAGCGGGAGGCGATGTACGCGCTCGCGGGCCCGGACGGCCACAACCACCCTCACATCAACCAGTACTTCGGTTATTTCAAGCTCGACAACTACCCAGGATGCGCAAACGATCCAAAGCAGTTCCGTAGCAGAAGCGCTTTCTCTCCCTCCCCCCCCTCCTCCTCCACCACCGCCGCCGCCGCCTACTACTACGGAAGCACCGCCGGAAGGAACATCTTCTGGAGTGGTTTCAACGGAGACTAGTAGTGAAGTCTCTCCAACATCAACACAATTTTCGCCACTTGCCGACACTTTGCCAGAGGTTCCAGCAGCCGCAGCTCCGGTGCCTGTCCCGGAGACCGTAGAGACACCGTCGCTCGCGTCGAATGCGGTCAACCCTACATCAGCCATACCGACAACTTCCGTGCCGTCATTTTCCGACTCTTTTTCGAGAGCAATATCCTCAACAAGATCGATTTTAGTAAACGTACCTAACCCGTCTTCCACGACACCTGCCGCCACGTCGCTAGCTATTCTACCTGGACCCGCGCAATCTGTATCGCCTGAAGATCCCTTGTCCGACACACGGCTCGCTCCATCGCAATCTACGAACACTGGTATTCCGACTGGAGGATCTGCGGGTATAATCTCGCCTAACACGGGAAGCCCAAATGAGGGTGGTGGGCTTACACTTCCCCTAACTGGTCAAACAGATATCGCTAGTATCGCAGGAGGTGTGATTGGGGGCTTTGTCGGCCTTGCGTTGATCAGCGCCCTATTGTTTTTCTGCCTGAGGAGACGGAAGACTGGGACCTTTGAGAAATGGCAGCAGCGTTTGAGCGAAAAGAGCCAAAAGGGAGAGGGCGGCGTTCTCGCTAAATTACGTGCAGTGCCCGAAACAATAAGGGGCATTCCGGCAGGAGTGGGCGTCTTAGTCGCAAAATTGAAAGGGAATAAGTCGGGACCGGCTTCAAACCCATACCGGAAGCATACCCGCAACTCCAGTTCGGTCTATTCAGTCGGTACGAACCGTCGCAGTGAATCCATCAGCGAACCGCCCTCGAAATTTCGCCAGCAACTTCGGGGATTCGGCGGCCGGTTGCAGAGCATCAAGAAGAGCCGGCCGTTGCTGCTGCACAAGAAGCAAGACAGTCTCGTTGTTGGTCAAAAGTCTCCCTTCCCGGGTATTGTTGAGGATCCAGTTGTTCGCAACAGCAACCCCGGTGGAAACCCGTTCGCAGATCCAGTGGATCCATCCAAGAATTTGCAGCTGTTGAACCCAGATCCCGCGTCTCCTCAGCCGCGAACCCAGGAAGGCGGCCTTGTTGCGCCGAAGCCTGTTGCTACTTCAGAAAAGAGTTCACGCGATCCAATCGCTTCCCTAATGACCCAGATAGACGCCCAAAACGGTAGCGGTACACCTGAATGGCTTCGTGAAACCGCAGCACAGCACAAGCGAACAGCGAGCGCTCAAACCGCACTACGCTCGAATCCTCCCTCAATGTTCACTACGTCAGTTTATAGAAATGCAGACAATCCTTTCTTCGATCCGTCAGACGAACCGCCAGTACCAACGCTGCCGCTGCCACCTACTCCAGCGCGTCCGGTAAACGCGTACGCGCCCCTCCCGCAGTTCAACGCAACATCAAGCACAATTTCGCGCATGTCCAAGGATTCCTTCTTCTTCGGCGAACCTGGACCCAGCAGGCCAGCGACCAATGTGTATCCCAGAGGAGTGCGACAATCCGACCCATTCGATCTGGACCGACCCGAAGTGCTTGGGTTTGGCAATGTCGGCGGGCGCACAGTACGAGCCAGCGTCACCAGACAAAACTCCCGCAAGCGAAGCAGCACAATACCCAACTGGATCAACTTCAACGATGGCCCATACGAGCCCGTCACCGGCCCGTTACGAAACCCGAGCTTCAAGCGAAAACCATAGCGAGATCGTGGTTCCACCTAGCGATGAAGGACTAATGAGGTGCATAATGGCTTTTTTTCATGGGTAATTTTCTGATGTTGCCTGGAGTCGACGGTGCAGGAAGTATTCCGTGGGACCACCGTCCGCAACGCGCAGGCTCATATACAGCCTGTTTTCATTTCCTCTCTTCTCTATTGACGAAGATATATCTTACCTTCCTTGTTCGGTATTGCATGTAACATAGCTCGCGTCGTTTTGGCTTTTAGAATACCCCCGGTCATCCTGACGTTCGTTATATGAAAATTATTACTTCGCCATTCGCTTCGTGCTTATAACGCGTGAATAGTCTCAAGTTTGGTGTTGGATCAGCGATCGGCACCGTGTCACTTGCGTCATTTGGTCCTCGGAGATGTCATTGTTACACATATGCCTGAGCCGCGGCCCACACACACTCAGACAGCCAGATTTTTCGCGTGGCTTCAGCTTGAAACGTGGGATTTGTCAAGAAGATCCTTGTTTGGATGGTCGCGCCAAGTTGTGTAGATCCTACAAACATGCGATAGACGCATCAAAAGTGGTGCGATCTTGCGTTGGGGGTGTGTGTAGTGGTTTACAAGGAATGACATGTGTGGATGTGACGCGGATAGGACACATCTATACCCTTCAGCGGGAGAAAAAAGTTCCTACAAGTCCTTGTGTTTATTTAGAGTGTTGAATATTTCTAATTATGTAGGAGAAGGTGTTTGGAGTTGCGAAAACAGAATAGGTAGATCCTTTCTCAAGTACTGATGATATGCACAAAAAGATGCTTACTACCTAACTAATATCGCGACGCCGTCTCCTTAGATAGATAGGGAGGACTAGCAAAAATTTGGACTTGCTGGGAATCGAACCCAGGACCTTTCCCATGATATACGACACCCAAGGGCAGATATGCTAAGGGAAAATTATACCACTAAACCACAAGCCCCAACAAGCCGGTAGCTTCCCACGCTGACCTATGAACTTCAGAATAAATTATAAATAATAGAACTAAAATCTACATTCTCCCTTAACGGCTTTGACTTTCTTGAATCTAAAATTGGCGTCCTTTGTAAAGATGCAATAGGCTTAATTTTAGAGAGGAAACGTTGTGTGTTCGCTTATCATATTAGTTTTAAAACCCTCCGGACTTTGATGCATGTGAACTTCTTAACTTGGTAGTTCGACCGATTGAACGGAACTTCAGAGCCACACGAGCGCTAATTTCACTTCTACCAATCACCATTCTGGTATCAGCCCATGCTGTCGCGGTTCAATGGCGCTTACAAGGGGCAATCTTAAGAATCATGCGCATCACGTGACCTGCCAAGACTTTAAGCGAGTCTCCTCCAGAGTCTCTCAAGGCGTCAACTCTACTACTTTAACCTCTACTTTCTCACTCACTATAGCCGATTTCTATGCGAAAAAAGGTCCTCCTACTTTTATAGACGCCTAATTAGGTGCTATCGTTGTTCTCCGTAGAAAATGTGGCCTTACTTACCCCGAAATCTCTGCCAATTTGGGCATCTCTGACTCGACTGCTGGACAGGCGTACAGACGCATCCAAAACCTCGCGAAGGGCGACTCTCTACCGTAGCTTGGCAGTTGGCGCGCCGCGTCACCGAACGCGCCACCCCACCATGCAATACCCCAACTTCAACGCGCTGCATCTCCACTAATATAGACCTAATTACGGCCGCGATAGAAGTAATTAAATTATAAAAATTAAAAGAATCTTTCTTATATTAAAAAATTATAAAAAATTTTAGTATTATATAATTTATACTAACGCGCTTGTATAAGTACTTTATTAGCTAATAATAAGTTCTTATATAATATAGCTAAAATATTACTTAATAGTAAGAATAAGAGCTTTTATAATATATTAAGCGCCTTACTAAACGTGGCCTTTTTTTTATATAGTAAATAATATAGAGCTTTACTTTTATAGCAGCTAAAAAAACGTTAGCTTATTATAAGTTAATTATTTTATCTAACGTCACGCTTAATCCTTAATATTGTAATAAATAACTAGTATTAATAGTAATTATTATAAAGCTAATTCCCTAGCTAAATATAAGCTTTACTTTAACCTCCTACAGCAGAAGATAGAGCAGTATTAGATTAAAGCTTAAGATATCTATAATATAGATAAGAAAGGCATCCTACCCGGCACTACTTCCCGCTTAAAGAAGATTTTAATATGCCTCTATACGAGAGCAAGGCTGTAAGGCAAGCTATCTAGAATAGTAGCCGCGAGTGGATATCGCTTATAGTCTATATATACGCCGACAGATCTGCCCTAGATCCAGCTCTAATTTATTAGGCCACCTCTATAAATATATAATTAAGCTGGGTTAAGGATCTTAACCCTTAATATTATTAAGCCTTTATTACTATATTTAAATTTAATTGGTTAAGTAATTAAATAGGCCTTATATAGCTTTAATAGGTATCTAATCGCCTTATAAAGTTAAAAGCAAGATAATTATATTAACTATTAATTCTTAATAGCTATAAATTTTATATTACTATAGATTTTATTAACTATTATAATTATAATAGGACCTTATTAGCTATCTATTTACTTTACTTAACTTATACGTTATAGTCTCTTAATGTCTGCGGGTTTAAGCCTTTATTAATAGTATATTTAAATAAGCTATTAGCCTTCTTATAAAATAGCTAGAGACTAGTTTTTATTGCCAAGAGAGACTTCTTTAGCCTATTTTAAAAGGTCTAGGTAATTACTATAAGGCAGCTATTAATTCTTTAGGCTTTTAAAGCTATAAGTATCTTCTTACTAGATCTAATAACTATCTTTAAATAATTTAATTAGACTATACCTTTTAATTAATCATTATAAAAAAGCTTAACCTTAATACTTAATGCTTTAAATTAGAGAAAGATTAACTAGATACTAAAGGCTATTATTAATATAAGGGATAATATTAAGACTAAAAAGCTAGGTTAAACTATATACTTAATTATTATATAAAAGTGATTTTTAAAGCATAAAAATAAGGACCTATAAAAGGCTTTAGCAACGTAAAAAAAACTCGTAAATTAAAATAAGTTTTTAATTTTTAATTAGCTAGATAAGTATTATAGTAGAGCTATTATTTAATTACTTTATAGCATATAGTGGGTTCGCGATTATTAATACTAAAAAAAATACTAAAAAGTAGTAATTATAGCTTTAAAAAAGTAAGTAAGTAGAAGCCTGTTAGGCTAGTTAGTAGTTTAAAATAAGACTACTTTAAAAGAGGCGTATTACTTAAGTAATTATTAAAAATATACGCGTAAAGTAAAAAGCTAATAAGACTACTAAGTAATATTTTAAGGAATAGGCCCGTAAGGCATAAAGTTAACTTTAAAAACATATTAAAATATTTAAATTAGGTAGTAAAAATTTCTTAAAGCCTTTTAATAAAGCTATTAGGAAAAATAGCTTTAGTATAAGGCTATAAACATTAATAAATCCGTATTTATTATATTTACTTTAAAGTCGCGTATTAGCTAAATAATTAAAATACTAAGTAAATATTAATAATTTAAGTAGTTAGTAATTATTTATAGGCCTTAAAGACTGTAACTCTAAAAAATCTTGTAATAATATTAATTATAGGTGGCTTAGTAGCCTTATGTTGCTGGCCGAGCGATCATGTTGGGGCGGCGCGTTCAGCGACGTGGCGCGCCAACTGCCAAGCTACGGTAAGCGATAGGCTAGGTGCAAGGCTAATTGGGCCGCACTAGCCCTGGGAACACCAGCTTTTCAACCCACCAACTTTGACGCTCACGACAGAATGCAAAATTCTGCAGATGTCTCTACGTTCTTGCATTTAGGCTGGGAACGCGGAAAGGATGTCATTGTGGCTATGCTATGCATGTTGAGTTACCCCAAGGCTTGCTACCGAGGTATGCATTGGAAAAGTTGCCTGTTACACTTCCCACAGTGATAGGATCATGTGCGTATACGATTATGTGTTATACTTCGTCTTTCGGCACTGTATAATTTGCTTATAGCTACCTGGTATGGGTGTCCGGCTGATTGCATTTGCCGCAAAGAATCGCACGAACCCCACTGAATATCAAAATGAAAACAATAGTTGAACTTCTCTCGAAGGCGGTAAGTGGTTATCAAAACAACAGCTTACGTTTGTAAAGCTATATGAGATATGTCTTATGCGATCTCTCTCGTTCATCAGGAGGTCACGCTGTCGTTTGCAATATGCGACCCCGAATAGGTCATACGTAACGTCAGCCGCCTGTCTTGCTCAAAGCCCATCTGGGTTTTATCCTTTGCTGAGAATCCGCAGCACAATCCAAATCCATTGCCCCGGACATACCAATTTACGACGCATCGCAGGTGGACCGTGCAATCTATTACACCTGGGCACGGTCTTGTTAACTCCTTTGTTGTAGTCAAAAATACATTAGCCACCATAGAATTATTCTCTCCGTTCTATTTTCCCTCTCGATCAACTCGCTAGCTCATACATACTGTGGAATGAGCACCTCGTATTGCGGATGCACCATAATCGACAAGCTCAGCATGTTCACCTTTTCTATTGTCTCCCGAGGTCTGATTCACGCTTCTCATGCCCGATCTTTTCTTAATAACACTTATATGTCGTCACATAGTATAGCTCGCCTGCACTCGCCCGAGATGCCTGCTAGGAGATCGGAGCATGCAACAAACGTGACGCGTGGAACGTGCCGTATACGTGCAAGGTGGGAGTTTGATACGCGCATGCTAAATTTATCAAACTGTTCATAGGTAGAAACAGCTGCATGGGGTGGACGGCTCATTGCCCTCAAAGCTTGATTAGTTTGGCGGAACGAAAGTTGAGTTTGCATATGTGTCATGCGTTTACGGTAGATAATGCTTCGCAAGCCAGAACAAATGCTGGAAACGCTGTCGAAAAGAGATGCAATCGGTCACCGACAAAAACAGTGTGTTGCCATGGGATCATTCCCGCACACAAGTTCGCCATGTGTATCCTCGCAAATGATCAGCCCACAAACATTGCATGTCTATCATATATACTGAGAGAACAGACCGACTCATGTAATCAACTTGCATCTAAAACCATCCGAAGATCCAACCATCCAACCCACGGTCAAAGCCATCTCCATATCGGCCCGGCACCTGAACTTACCATCCGCTCCAAGTTATCATAGTTTCCATCAAAGACCCCCAGGTCGCTTTCGTCGCCGTTATCATCATCACCGCTGTCCTTTTTTGCGGTGCGGAATACTGCTGGGGTCGCAAGTCAAGGGCCAAAAAGCGCGCGTTCGTCTCAGCTCAGAGACCCTCGCCGTCAGAAACCTTGCGATATGAAACAGGTGCAATGAGGGGCCGCATCTAGGTGCGTAAAAATTCGCTATCGTGCGGAGGGCACGGCCCGAGAGCCTCGGCGGAATGAGTCTATGCTCCCGCGTGGCCGTCAAGGGGAAGAAAGGTAATGGGCGACGAAGGGTGAATAGGTGCTATGTGAGGAGGCTCCAGAAAATACTCTTCGCAATTGGAAAAAGAAGAACTAAAGAACTGGAAAATGATGGAATATATTGTTAAAAAGGTTAGAGGGGCGATGTGGTGTCGTGCGCGAGCAGTGTCAAATAAGAAAAGACGTGTTGGAAATATAGACCTGTCAGAATAGTAGCAATGGTGACAGAATAGATCTATTTGTGGAATTGGCCTCGCATATCGCAACCTTTTAATTTGTTAAAGTAATCCATGCTGTTACGATTTGGTCTTTTAAACTAGCCACCACATAGCATGCACTAGAAGTGTCCCGCTTACTTTCAGCTGCTTTACCACTCCCGTATCTCACCTCCCGGTCCAATGAATCCAGGCGAGATCCATGCCTTTGCGTCCTTGCTCTCTCTCCTCACCCACTCTTCATCCACCTCAATCCCCAACCCTGGCCCCTGCATCAACTCAAT